GTTGTTCGCAGGCGTGAGTACATCGGCTTCAAATCTGGCTCATCCAATCACATTCATATTTCCTCACTTTATGCATGTGGCAGATGTGTTCCCAGATCAGTTCATGTATTCCCCAGGAATCAATCGCAGTGTATCCATCACTTACTGCAGTATGTGGGCCGCGATGGCCGGTCCGTACCAGTCACCCGCCCTCTTCCCAGAGGCCCGGCCCAACTCCACCAGCCGGTGCAGGCCGAACGGCGTGGAGGACAGATCGCCGAACCAGGACACGGTCCTCCTGTGAGTCCGCTCCTCCTGAGCCTCACAGTCTAACGTGGTTCCCAGACTGCGTCTGCGAGGTTTTCCCGAGTCACGCCGGCTCTCTCTGAGGGAATCGTCCAACACCTCCAGGTCATCTTTGGTCAGATGATGGGTCGCAGGCCACGTCCAGCCTGAAGAGAGGAATGGCATGCTTACTTTTGTACATAATATACTGTGCAAGTCTATTACTATTTAAAATAACAGTTTTTCTGTGTGAATATATTATGAAATGTAATTTATTCCTGTGATGGTGCAGTTGAATTTTCAGCATCATTACTCCAGTCTTCAGAGTCACATGATCCAGAAATCATTCTAATATGCTGATTTGAATGTGATTTAAATATGAAATTTCAAATAATACTTAAACTATAGCAAAACCATTGTGATACAAAACAAAGATATGCATTTTACCACATTTATGAGAAATTTTATTTAAATATATCATTATATGAATTTTTACAAAATTTTTAAAGGTCAGATTAATATTAATTAACCCCATATTAATCCCATATTAAACCGTGTGTTTTTCAGAATTTGTACAAATTTCTTCCGGCTCAAAAATGGTTATATCTCTTTTAAAAAATGTTTTTTTGAAAATTAAAAAATAAATAAATAAACATAAATGTTATCTCTTTAAAAATCTTAAAAATATATAAATAAATAAAAATAAATGGTTATATCTCTTTTTTTTATTATTATTAAAAATCGGGAAAAAAATTTTTTTTTAATTAAATGTGTATTTTTCACAGGCTAACCACATTTTTTAAGTTTTTGCCAGACTATTGATTAATTATTATTATTAACTTTTTTTTTTAACAAACTTTTAAAATTTCTTCTGGGTCAAAACTGGTTATATCTCTTTTAAAAAAATGATTTGAAAATTAAAAAATCAAAAAATAAATAAACATAAATGGTTATCTCTTCAAAAATCTTAAAAATAAATAAATAAATACAAATAAATGGTTATATCTCTTTTTAAAAAATGTTTTACAAATCTGGGGAAAAAATTTAAAAATTAAATGTGTATTTTCACAGTCTAACCACATTTTTTAAGTTTTTACCAGACTATTAATTAATTATTATTATTACCTTTTTTTTTTTTTTTTAACAAACTTTTAAAATTTCTTCTGGGTCAAAACTGGTTATATCTCTTTTAAAAAAATGATTTGAAAATTAAAAAATCAAAAAATAAATAAACATAAATGGTTATCTCTTCAAAAATCTTAAAAATAAATAAATAAATACAAATAAATGGTTATATCTCTTTTTAAAAAATGTTTTACAAATCTGGGGAAAAAATTTAAAAATTAAATGTGTATTTTCACAGTCTAACCACATTTTTTAAGTTTTTACCAGACTATTAATTAATTATTATTATTACCTTTTTTTTTTTTTTTTAACAAACTTTTAAAATTTCTTCTGGGTCAAAAATGGTTATATGTTTTGTCCTGATGTACATACATTTTCAATTTTAAATGTTTAGTCACACCAATATTAATTAATTGCATACTAAAACAAATAAAACTTTCTGAACTTTTAGAATGTCTTACAGGTTAAAAATGTCTGAATGTTAAGGATTTTGATCATGCAGTGTGTTTGTACCCGCGGGCATCGTGTGCAGCATTAGTCCGTGAGCTAACAGCATCTGTGCGCTGCGGAGCATGCAGCCCCATCCCGCGTCAGACGTGAGCGCCGAGCCGTCCAGCGGTGGGAAACCTCTCCTGTAGGTCATCCACAGCAGAGAGGAGAACGCCCGCCGAAAACTCTCCCGCTCTCCTGAGAGAAAACACACGCTTACAGTGAAACCACGACACTCACATGCAGGCATGACCGTCCTGTCCTGCTTACCGCTGTAGCTCAGCTGATAGGACTGTCCCAGCAGACACACGGGACTGCTCTTACTGAGACGCGGCTTGCCCTTCAGAGACCAGCCTGAGGAGAAACAGAGATGTGTGAGGATGACGGATTCATACTGAGTCAGGCAAGAGAAAAATGTGTGCGGTGGAGCCCGACTTCAAAATCTGGGTTTAGTGAAATAGGTCGTTTAGTGAGAGAGGAAGGTAAAGGTCAACAACGACTAAAAATCTACCAGCTTTTGATATAACAATATACACTACAGTTGAAGATTTTGGAAGAAATGCATACTTTAATTCTGCAAGGACACATTCAATTAATCAAAAGTGACAGTAAAGACAAAATATCACAGTTTACACAAAAATATAAAGCAGCACAACTGTTTTCAGCATCAAAAACACACACTGAAAAGCATGTTTTTATGAAAACTGCTCCACATACCTCCATATCTGAGGTTATTCCACGCTGAAATGAGTTTGGTTTTGAGTTTGGCCTTGTCTTTTGACTCCTGGACGTGTCCGTCGACGTCTGCACTGGGATCCAGCAGGCCCGGGTTCAACAGGTTGACCACCTCAAACGACGCGAGCTCATCTGTGGGCTCCATCCCGCTGTCTAACTCATCACTCACATCCATGACCGGCCCGGATACTGTTGCCATGACGTCCAGAGACTCTGAATCCCTGCTGTCCAATCAGAGGAGGGATGCGAGCCGCTCTGTCTCTTCTGAACGCTACAGGTGCCGGTGATGCTGTGGGACAGTGAAATAAAGGTTAATGTGTCACCAGAGCTCTTTAGAGGGAAATACTGAGCCATGTGACGCACATGTGACTGAAAGAATCTTACAAATGTGTCAAAGCAAATGTTAATGTTCCAAACTCCTATCAAAGATCCTACAATAATACAAGCGTTTAGATAACTATTGTGTGCTTATGCACTAAAATACACATGATTCCGGTTTATGTGCCCTTTAAATATGGTACTCTTTGATTTACCATGGTACTCAATGTACATGGCGGCTCAGCGTAGTACTTAAATAAAGAATACTGTGGTGTTACCATGGTACCATGTTCAACTGTACAATATCTCATTATTATTTGTGAGGATTATAGTGAATTTCAGCTGTGAGAGTGACTTTATAAGTTTGTTATTGACTGAGGCTTGTTGAGTTGATGCGGAAATCATGTTTATTCGCCTTTCGGATAAACAGACGGGTCACATTCAGTCACGAATGCGACTAAATTTTTATTATGTGGTAAAAAACTTACCTTAAAAGCTATTTTAACTGTCATGTCGTTGTGAATATCGCAGGATTTCAGCTTGAAACTTTCCGCAGTACAAACGTACCGCGACGCCACTGCCTGATTGTAACTCCGCCCCTTCCCTCTTTTACTCGGCAACAAAGCTCGTATCTGTCCTCTGATTGGCTGTCTGGTTCCTCAGCGCTCTCTGATTGGTCAACTGACTGACTAAGTAGGGGCAGATCTCTGAAAGTCCTGAATAAGTATGGCAAGCTGTATTAACTTTTACTGTTTGAAACCTACTAGTAACTATTTTCATGCTACTAGTACTTGTTTTTTTTTAGATAGTATCTATTCCATTAGTTACTAGTATTTATTCGTTAGCTGCTAGTGTTTATTCTTTAGGCACCAGTACCTTATTTAATAGTAAAAATACTTGTACTTATTTATTTACTAGTTCTTATTATTAGATACTAGTACTTATTCATTAGATACTCATACCTATTAAATAGATATAGTACTTATTGATTAGCTTCTAGTACTTATTCCACATGTTGCTAGCAAGATTTGTAACTGAACTATAGTGACCATTCTGACTAGTCATATTATAAGATGAGTAAAGAGCAGTTGTGACTAGTAAGATAAGAAACTTTCACAATCGCATTTTATCACGTTTCAGCGTTTTTCACTACTCTGTTGTGATTTATTAAATATTTCACTGTACAGTTTTAGCCAGTTAACCCTTTTTTGAGTCCTTAACATCACTAATGTGATTTATGAAATACTTACAGATTTGATCAATTAACCCTTTCCTGACTCCTTCGCTATTCTGATTTGTGAAAACTTTCACAGTAAAGCTTTGGTCAGTTAACCCTTCACTGAGTGCTTAACTTCACTATTCTGATTTGTGAAACCTTTCATAGTATAGTAGGGGTTGAACGACTTCTGATTTTTTGAAGTCGACTTTTATGTGATGAAACATTATGTGATTATGCAGCGCATTAGATTAGAACGGCGATTAACTTACCTGTACAATAAGCTGTTTAAAACGTGCATTCTCCCGTTCAATTTCGAGCATCCAGTAATATAATCACACATGTCTTGTGGAGCACTTTCAGAGTATGCATTTATTTGTCATTTGAACTGTTTGGAAACGGAGCGTAAATGTGGAAGTCCTTCAAAGATTTCTAATCCTGTTGCGCCCTCTATAGGACCAGCGACTAGTCGACGTCAAGCTTAAAGCGTCATGGCAGAGCATTGAAGTCGACTAGTCGACTAGTTGATTAGTCGGTGCAACCCCTATAGTATAGTATAGTTTTAGTCCTCCAATTAGATTACCCTAAAACATGGTGACAGATACCAAGTGAACACACACTCACACAGTCAGGCCGTGTCAAAGCTATAATAAATCAATAAACACATAAAACACCCGACTGTAACACAGTCTTTCATCACAGGACCTCTAAAGTTCTGCTCTTGTCACATATAAAGAAATACTATACTGCAGACAGACAGGGGAGAGAGAGATTGACATGGTTGAACTGCAATGTCACTAATGTCAATCAACTCAGAACAATAAAATAAAAACACATGCCAAATATAAGACATTGGTGGAGTTAGCAAATGCAATTTAGCACAAGCAGGCCTGGAGGAAAGATATTGTCTGAACATTAAATTGAAGCATAAAACAGAAAATAAAACATAAGGCATTCCTATTGTTATTTGACACTCGCCTTGAAAAGAATCACAGAATGACACAGCCGCTTGTTTTAATTTTCAGTTTTTCAACTTCTTGTTGCAGCTCCTTTATTTCAGCTCCTTTCTGCTCCTGCAGGTGCTGATAGAGTTTTTCCAGTAATTCCTGGTGTTTCTGACGTTCTTCCAGCATCTCACTGAGCTCCTGAACGTGCTGCTCTTTTCTCTCTCTGAAATCATTCAGTTCTTCTGCTTGTTTTCTGGCTTCATCCTCATGTTTCTTCTTTATGACTTTTATTTTCTCTTCATATTCCTTTTTTATTTCGTCTTCTCTTTCTTTCCTCTCCTTCTCCTCCTTTTCTCTTCTCTTGATCTCGTCTTCTTGCTCTCGTTTCAGATCATCATGCATTTTCTCCCATCTCTTTCTCTCTTCCTCTCGTCTCTCATCAGCTTCTCGTTTTCTTCTCTCCCACTCCTCTTTTCTCTCTCGTTCCAGTCTTTCATAATGTCTGTCCATTTCGGTTTTCTTGTCTTTATATTCTCTCTCCTTTTCTTCTCTCTCTCTTCTCTGTTTCTGTCTCTCCTCCTCGATCTTCTGTCGTTCTTCTTCTCTCTCTCTTTCAAATCTCTTTCTCATTTTCTCCAGTTCTTCTTGTTTTTCTCTCAGTTGTTCCTCGTGTTTCTCTTTTCTCTTTCTTTCCTCTTCCTCTCTTTCTCTCGTCTGTCGTTTCTTTTCATCCTCCCATTCTCTCTGCTGTCGTTTAATTTCCTCTTGAATCTCTTTTCTGTCATTTTCAGCCTCTTTTATTTTTCTCACCCATTCTTGTCTCTCTTTCTCTTCTTCTTCATTCCTCCTTTTCTCCTCCAAATCTCTCTTTTTTATTTCCTCTTCTTGATTCATCTGTAATTCTGCAATAATGTGTTTTTGCTCATTTTTCATCATTTCTTGATCTTGTCTGTATTTTTCTTCCCTCTTTCTATCTTCTTCTTCTCTTTGTTTTTGCTGTTTTTCATACTGTGATCTCTGGTTTTCAGTCTCTCTCGTCATCTTTTTGATTTTTCTATGATATTCGTCTCTTTGCTGTTTTTCCTCTTCTGCTCGTTTCTTGTTTTCGATTTCTCGTTTCTTCTGTTCCGTTTTCTCTTTCTCTTCAAACTCTTTTCTGAGTTTTTCCTCTTTTTCTTTTAGTTGATTCTCCATTTTCATTCTCTCTTCATCTGCTCTCTGTTTCTCCTCCTCGAGTCTCTTCATCAGGTTTTTCTTTTCCAGCTCATATTTGGCTTTTAATGCCTCATTTTGTGCCTCAATCTCTCTTTCTCTTTCTTTCAGTATTTCCTCCATTCTCTTCTTAATGGACATCTCTGCCTCCTCAAACATGCTGTTAGTGAAGTATCGACCAGCATTAGTATTTTTCACCTCTTCTATCATGTTTAACAGTTGAATCACTTGAGTTTTGTCTCGTTTTTCTTTATTATTGAAGACCAGGAATCTGTTTCCACAATCTCTGATCAGTTTCTTGAGTTCAGCACAATTATAATTATTCACATAATCTTGTATGGATTCATCTGCCAGTTCATCTCCTCTAGTGAACAGAACGATGCTGAACTGAGCGGCTTTATGACCAAAGATCTGCTTTATCAGATCCATAGTGTCCATTGACTCTTTGGTGAATCTTCCCAAACTCAACACAATGACGAACACATGAGGTCCAGGTGACGACATTGAAATGCATTTCACTATTTCTTCCAACACTCGATCATTTGACAGTGTCGTGTCGAAGAGACCTGGTGTATCAACAACAGCTACTGATCGACCATCAGTCTGACCAAACCCCTTCTCACAAACTGTCATCACTGAATCTGGCCTTAATTGGCTGCGAAACTCATTTCTTCCCAGAATAGTGTTTCCTGTTGCACTCTTCCCACTTCCTGTCCTCCCGATCAGCACAATCCTCAAACATTCCTGATCGTCTGCTTCACCTTCAGCACCTGAAAAATTGTTTTGGAATTCAAAATGCAAAAGTTGGTGGAATTCATGTATTGATACATATATTGCAGATTCGAGTCTGGTGTTTTTCAGTCAAATCATATGGCAATGTCTCTGATTGTTTTCAGTTTTATTCGCTGGGTAAGAATCAAGTCAGAGGGGATTTTTAGCTTCTGAAATGCTAGTAAAGTTTCTAGAAGTCTGCTGTCATTTTGATAGGTTGATCTGCTACTAAGTTTGGGTAGTCTAAGAAGCATCTGGTTCTGTTCAGGGTACAGACTTTTGGAAATAAAATGCAGAAGTTTACACATGGTTATCTAGGATTTCAGTTGGTGTCTATTTTCTGCTGTAAACCTCATTTACAAAATCACTGTGTCCATGGCCAGTGGAGTGTCAGTGGTCACAGTCATCAAATGTTTGAGATGCTTGTCTTTACTGAATCTTTAAAGTGCCTAAGTTAACTTCGGTAACTTCATAAGCCCTCACTGTCCTCTTTTGAAAGTTTATGAAAGGATATAATGGCATTTTGATGGACAGAGATCCGTGGCAGAGTCAATACTGTTGAGATGAGAACTGCTTAGCAAAAGTAATTAGCAAATGTAGATTTCACTACATTTCTTAAGCGTTTCAGAAACAGGTGCTGTATGTAGGATTGACACCGAGTGGTTGAACTAGGTATTGCAGTCCAAATTCAAAATATTGGAGAGGGTTTTTTTCACCCTGCCCCTCCTCCTCGGACTTGACGCACATGCAGGTTGCCAGATTGACGACACCAACAGGAACGAGCACACTTGAGATGAATAAAATGAAATACACTGTGTTTCCCGCCAACTGGCAACCCGGGGTGCCGAAATACTATTGGGTAAACTGGCAGTGGGCGGGTTTCACAAACCAAAGCAGAAACCGACATTCTGGCCTGGAACGCACATTTTCAATTAACTGACTGTAGCATTGTTTTTTAGATAAACAAGTATGTTAACTTAGCATGTTTCTTAAATATCTGCAAACATATTATGGTATTTTTATGCTTTAGTAGAGTCAAAAACTTACATACAGCACCTTTAAGAGGACAGCTTATTGATTGACTGTCTTGTGTATCAGTTGACTCAGGATATGAACAGTTTAGGCCAATTTGATTTACAAGTTCAACTGGCTCACTAAAAAGTACAGAATCAAAAGAATGATTAATTCATGAATTTTTAAGCACAAGATTTAAGAGTGAGATTTGACTCACTGTCAGTACTGAGGATGGAGATGAATAAATGCTTAAATTTGGGACATGTGGCTTCTGAATGTTGATTACAGTGGACAAATAAAATGGTTTAGTGTTAAAATCATTTTAAGGTTTTTTTTTTGGTCAGTTTTTAAGGCAAAACTCAGGTTCCACACTGGTCAAACAAATGTATATCTTTAGATGTCTTCAATACATCAATATCGTATGCTTTAGTGTCTTTGTACACATACGTTAATATAGATGCACTAGAACAACACTTCATGTAATATATGTACGTGTGTGTGTGTGTGTGAATACTGATAGTCAGTTGCATATTCACTGCATGTGGAATTACTTTGTGAACAAATTTCCAATTATTTTTTCTCTTAGATAAAGAAAATGACCATAAATGACAGTAATTACTTTACTCCTACTTCTTAATCACCTTCTAACTGAATTTTCTGCTCCAACTCTTTGATTTTACTCTTCATTTCACTCAGTTTTTCCTCTAGTTCATTCCTGACTCTGTTCTCCTGAGCTTTCACATACGTCTGTAGTGAATACGGTTCAGTCTTCATGTTCTCAATATAATCCAGCAGTTCTGGGATCTGTCTTGAGTTTTCAGGTTCATTAAACCCCATCACTCTGTACTGACCTCCACAGCGACTGATTAACCTCTGAGATTCTGTGCTGGATTTGACAAAATCTAACGCAAGTCCTTCAACACTGAGGTCCGATGTGAAAAGCAGCATGAAATGCTGTTTGGAGTAAAAAGTCTTCTGGATCTCCTCCATTTCTGCTTTGTCTTCATCAGTCAGTGGAGCAACAGGAATGACAATGATGAAAACATGAACTCCAGGATCACAGAGAGACACACAGTTGAGAGTCTGACGCATCACTTCCTCCTCTGAGAGCCGACTGAGAGCTGGAAGCTCCACCAGACTGATCAGACAACCATGAGTCTTCTGCTCTTTCTTCACACACTCTTCACCGCTTGCTTTCCGATCTGGAGGTTTTATCTTCTTCCCTCGTAAAAGTTTGGACACAGAGACTTTAAATGTTGGATTACTTCCACACAGAACCAGGTTCAGCTTCTGTTTTCCAGATGAATTTGCTGACATTGAAAAACAAATTAAGAGCTTTGGTATAGCACACTTTCTTAAAGGGATAGTTCACCCAAAAATGAAAATTCTGTCATTGATTACTCACCCTCATGTCGTTCCAAACCCATAAGACCTTCGTTCATCTTCAGAACACAAATTAAGATATTTTTGATGAAATCTGAGAGTTTTCGGACCCTGCATAGACAGCAATGCAACTACCACATTCAAGGCCCAGAAAGGTAGTAAGGACATCTATAAAATAGTCCATGTGACATTAGTGGATCAACCGTAATTTTACGAAGCTATGAGAATACTTTTTGTGCACAAAGAAAACAAAAATAATGATTTGCGCCTGGTTTTTAAGCACACGCATGCGTCGCAGTACTGTCGTGAACGTGCATCGAACACTGACACAGAAGAGAAGAAATTGTTGAATAAAGTTGTTATTTTTGTTTTCTTTGTGCATAAAAAGTATTCTCGTTGCTTGTAAAAAATTTAAGTTGAACCACTGATGTCCAGTGGACTATTTTAATGATGTCCTTACAACCTTTCTGGGCCTTGAACGTTGTAGTTGTTTTGCTGTCTATGCAGGATCACAAAGATTTAATCCAAAACATCTTAATTTGTGTTCTGAAGATGAACGAATGTCTTACGGGTTTGGAACAACATCATTTTCCTTTTTGGTTGAACTATCCCTTTAACACTTCTTGTGTTAAGTTATATTGTATGTAGCTTACTATGGTTTAATCAACTTACTGTTGGGACGAATATGAATATATGGATTTTTCTTTCTTAAATTGGCTGGGGGAAAAGTAAACAAGTACAAATTTAATAAATATCTAAGCAATATAAAACAATGTTCCCACATGCTGTATCCTGACATTCTGACAACACAAGCGTAACAGTTAAGGATCAAGTATCTTTTTGTTTTTTGCACTAAAAGCACTATGCTGCTTTTATTTTCTGTTCTTCATTCTGTTAAAAGAGTTAACAATTGTTCCCGTTCCTCTTTTAATCCTTGTCTCCTAGCTCCTTGTCATATGATTCGCTTGAATTCTATAAGTTTGAGTTTAACAAATATTAAAGATGGCAGTTTTAATTCAATTTAAATTTTTGTAACAAATTATTTTCTTTTTACAACACACTTGACACAGTCAACAGAGTAAAAGTTACACAGTGGTTGGACAAAATAATTTAGGGTTCATGTCATTTGTTTAGACTGCAGTGAAAAAAAAATCAACATTGCTTTTATCTTTCCTTTATCTTTTCATTGTCTTTATTCTGTAATTTGTAATTTGACACATTATGTTGTCCAACCCCTGTAAGTACTGATCAGACTGTGCAAAGACTGTTTAGTCAGATCGACTAATGTTTAATTGCACACTATATAAACTGAGTTCATTTTCACAGCATTAAAAAGAGCAACTCTGAAAACTTACAAAAGAGTCTTCCTTCACCACTTCTCCTTTTCTGTCTCTCGTTGGGTTTTCCATCATTATTGTGGTGAGAGCTCTTCTTGTTTTCTTCCTCTGAATTGAGCTGCTCTTCATCCACAGACGATCCTACAACATCATGAAATATGTCACATGTGAGATATTCTTCCTTGTTATCCTTGAGTATCTTATCAACCCTTTTAAATATGTCTGCTTGCAATTCTGGTTTTATTTCATCCAGCTGAAGATGTCCTCCACACTCCTTTATTAACTGATGAATAGTTGTCTCCAGAGCATTGCCTACAATCAACTGTTCAGGATGGCTGATTATGGAACTAATTATTGATCTGTATGTCTCTTTATCAGTCGTGAGAACAATGGCACGTCTAATCGCATCCTCACTGAATTCTTTCAGCACATATTTCACTCTTCCCATGTCCTCCTCAGTGAAGTCTTTATACTGCAGTATGAGTATGAATGCATGAGGTCCTGGAGCAGACAGATTCACACAGTCTCTCACTGTCTGTGTGATCTGATGGTCTGAGAGGTTAGGACTCAGCAGATGAAGGGTGTTAATGACTGTGACGTGTCTGTCCTTCACCATTCCACCGATTTTCATCACACTGAGCTGCTCTAAAGCTGTAGGTTCTTCATTCTCACGCAGATCAATTCCCAGGATTAGGTTTCTGACTTGGCTGTTTTCTGATAGATTCTTCCCCAGAAGAACAATCCTCAGATCACTCACTAGAACACACACAATGCATACCGCAAAGTTAGAAACACTAAAAATCTGCAGCAATACCACAACACTGACCATTTTAAATTTTCATTTCAATTTACATTTTCATATTTACATCACTGAATATAAAAATGAGAAATGGTTTGGTTGTGTAAAATAATTTACATTTCACATTACAGCGTGAATCCTCAACAAACCGTTTACTGGATGTAAGAACAAAATATGCAGTCATATTTACATTGTACCTATGAGTTATAATTTATAATTTAATTGACTTACTCGTAGGAGGATTACTTAGACTTTGCCGCCTTCGCCTGTCTGAAAATAAAATCATCCATATGACGCATAACAATCAAACCTTTATAAATCATGACATGAATTCGTGAATTAGAGAACATATGAAGGTTGCCTACTATAAGTTGATGAACAGATCAACGACAGAACGTTGTGATTTGAACAAACTCTCAAAATTATTAATTTACAAAATAATCAATCAATCAATAAACAAACAAACGAACAAACGAGTGTCCGTAAAGTGTCTGGGTTTTTTTCACTATTTGAAACTTACGTGGGTCAAACTCTTTCGCTGCATATGATGTGACTGCATCTATAAAACCAAGCAGAACACAAAATAATCATCTCAAAATACCGAACACACAACTAAACTAAAACTTGTCTATATCGAAGTGACAAACCCGCTGCATATTTTATCAATTTTTGATGAATTACATCCACTTCAAGAAAATGTTACTTATTAATGGATTACCTTTATTTACTCCATGTAGCCTACTTCATATA